AAGCTGCTTGGATGAGTAGCAAAACATTTCAACCTAATAAGAAATAAGTCCACTTGCCATGACTCAACTTCCAGATAATCTCACCTGATGACTGAGAATCTTCACAGATAACACCCATGTTATAGAGCGTTCTTGACTGAGAATCTTCACAGATATACTATAACACCCATGTTATAGAGCGTTCCCAAGAGAACAGCAGACAGCATAACCTTGTGCTGTCCTGAAAATTTACCTATTGTACTGTTGAAATTGAGCAGCAGCAGGAAAGGTGGTGCAGGGTTTTTGTACCATAGATGGCTGCAGGAGACTGCACAGTCTTGATGCTTTACAATAAAACAACTTTCCAAAACAGTGTTCCAAAATCTAATCTGATCGGACATAAGATGGTTTTCTGTGTTCCTTGCAACTGCCTTATTAGGTCAGGACCCAGCTTTAAATTTCATCCCATTTAGCCTGTGTTCTATATGTTTTGCAGATGTCTGTAAAAACATAATGCATAACTGCACTTCACAATATGAGTTTGATATCACTTTGTTTCTCAAAGCTTCACCATCTAGAATCTTAGAGTCTGTAGTTTGTTGGGATACTTAATGTTTTCTGTTTATATTTAAAACAATGATCACTCTATATTATCTCAGTTCCTAATTTTTGTTTCAGAATGTGATATAACTTTTCCTGCCCAGTGGGCTTGATAATGCAGATAATAAATAGCTATAAACTGCAATGATTCTATATAGAAGGTATCACTAAAAAACAAATAAATAAAAATCCAAACAAATAGTTAAATTGTGTTCCATTCACTGTGACCTAAATCACAGAGGCTTCCAGATTCTGAGGCAGAATTAGAAAAACAGATGGTTGAAACTCAGGATGTCAATTCTGGAGAAGCAGGTATTAGAAAAAGCAAATTATCACTTGGCTTCATTAATTCTGACCATGACTGGTTGTAGGCATCACTTGTGATTTAAAAGATATCAGAGAAAGAAGATGGTTTATTTTACTTGGTTTGATAAAATGTTGAACTGTCATGTTAAATCAACAGAAAACTTAAGATTCAGGCCCTGTTGAGGATTTTAAATCTAATTCACGTGATGTCTTCTATAAGCAGGTCTTGAAAATTTTTAGAATGTCTTACCAGTCACTCTTATTTCTAAGTAACAATGCATACAAACCCAAAATAAATTGTATTATATACGCAGTATTCACCTATGTCTTCTTAGTAGAAAATGTACTGCTGTCAGAGGTGTTGCACATGTATGCTTGAACATGCCTGGTAGTTTTAGGACTGAAGTACCATTTATCATTGGCTTTAATAGGGTTAAACTGTGGTAGTGGAGGTCCATTTAGATTCATCATCATAAGGTCATCTAAGTTTTCAGTCTCTAAACATGATCTGAATTTATTTTTTATCAGATTCATCTGGCTGAAACCCCTTTCACAGCTAACTGTAGAAACTGGTAGAACAGAGGCAATTTTAAGGAGCTTCAAAAGAACAGGAAACCTACCCCCATGATGGTTAATTGCCTTTCCCAGCAAATCCACCAATGACAGACTTTTTGCATAATTTTGAATTCATACCATTCATCCAGGGCTTTCTGAATTATGTCTTCTTTGCCCTTGTGTTGCAAAAGGTCTTTGTAATGAGATACAAGTACGGTTACTTCCTTTTTACCAAAACTTTCCAAGGATGTCTCTGGCCATGTGAAAGTATAAAATACTGACATAGATATTAATACGCCATCTGAAGCAGTTGCTTTATTATCTGCATGCCTGTGGGGTCATGAAGCTGTATTCTGAATGCCTTTCTTTTGAATGTCTCCAGCAAAAATAAACTGAAAAGAAAAAGGGCCTGGCCTCTTAAGGAGCCACAGTTCCCTCCCACCCCAGGATATGTCCTCGTTCGGTTGAAATTGGGAGCAGGGAATCTCTATATTCTCCAGCATGGGACAACTCTTCATTCTCCTGCAGAGCTATATCTCTATGTGCTGCTCGAACTCTCTTCTTGCGAAAAGAGGGCAATTTTCCTTTTGCAATGGAAGGGGGGAGGGGAGGACTGCAGGATAAGAGAGAGAGAGAGAGAGGCGGAGAGGATGGACGCAGGCAAGGGAAGAGCTGTGACTCGTGGAGCAGCATTTTTCACTCATCACAGACGAGTGGACAAGTGCATTTTTCAAGCCCTATCTATAAGGTTTTTTAAAAATTATGTCCAATCAGTCTCCAAGTAAATGTTCAGTCACATAGTCATTGCTCCTTCCCATAAAATTGTCAGATACCAGGCTTAACTTATGTGGAAACTAAGCATCTTTCAAAAGGGCTACAGGCCATTATCTGCAGCTGTTTTAAGTGGCAGGAATTGAATGTAGGACTTAATGTGGTATAAAACATTTTAATCACATCAAACATCCAGATCTGGAGTTTTTACAGAGTGTATAGAGATTTCAATTTATAGTTGAACTGGAGGAGTAAGAGCAAAGTTGTTTTAGACACTACAGAAAATTACACATATACAAATTATGTTTGTTGCCTCTTGCAGAAGGGCTTCTCTGCCTTTGAGCATAACCCAGCCAAGCAACAATGGAAAGATTACAGCCCATGGTGGAATCTTAGCTAGCCACAAGAGACCTAGCAAACTTTGGTCTTTAGTTACTGATGCTGCTATTAATTACAGTATTTTAAAAAAGGAAAGAAACAAACAAACAAAATCAGGGGAGAAGGGGGTTTAAAGAAAGGCAAATAAATGGCCTTTTGTTAACATCAAATACAAAATTTGCATTATTTGCCTGTCCACTGCTACCCAGCAACAAAAATGTGTTTAGTATAGTAACTCAATCCTGGAAAACGGAGCAGCCAGGAACTGTATATTTGCCAGTGTAGCAGCAGCAGCTCCTGCTATTGTACTCTTATCTGAAAACTACTCTGAATTATTCCATGTGCTGATTTTAACTACATAGCTAGTCATTTGTACACATTGAAGAGTTGATAGAGAAAATTCCCTCATTGATTTTTCTGTGCCCTGATGATTTGCTTCATGGAAACACTGATAAGGCCGTTATCCTATTGCTACTTCCAAACAGTATAGAACCATTGAATCAACTGCTGAATTTATTTATGTGAATTCCATTGAATCAATGGGTACATGCTAACTGGGACTAGAGATAGGATATTGACCTGTGAAGACCAATTGAAACTGACCACTATATAGCCATTATGATGAGTTAAAACCAATTGTTAGTCCCACCTAGAAAAAAACCCATGAAATCAACAGTGCATACTGTAATAATAGTGCATGGTTCAACGGGTCTATTCTAATTAGGAGTAACAGTTGGATATTGGTCTCTTTGTGTACCAAAGTCATGCATTAACAACAGTCTTGACATTCAAACACCTTTGGGTATCATATATTTGTTCCTCTTTAAGTTGTCACATAATTTTTGGATTTTGTTGCAACAGAAGAAAACAGGTACTCTTTCGGAAATAAATATATGACTTGTACTCATCACTGTGTATTAAACTCCATAAATCTAACCTTATGAATCTTACTATAGACTCCTAATATGTAGTTTGCTTAATCTTGACAACCTGTCCAGTCACTCTCTCAATTTCAAGATTATGTCTTCTAATGTGAATAAAATAAGGTTGAAACACTCATCAAGTAAGCCTACAAACTGTATTTCTGCATCAGCTGTTCACTGGTTGCTTTAAATAAGAAAAAATCTTAAGAAAACTCCCTCTTACATAAAACCAGCTATTTTTATATTGCTCTATTTATATCTGTTTAGATGGTCTGATGATAGTTGATTCATTTATCTATCAATGAGTATTACAAATACAATCTCTTCTATCAAGGCTGGCCAGGAATTTATCAGTTATTTCTTAATCAGAAATTCAGATAAGCAGAAGTGCTGTTTAACACAGACTAATACTGAAATGAGACTACATTGGAAATATACTGGATTAGAATTTTCTTTTTGCTTAAATTAGAATTGCCAGGTTTCAGTTCACCAATATGGATAATTTATTTTGCATCGAATGCAAAACCACATTAACCACATTAATTATTGCATTGTTTTTCTAAAAATATGGTTCAGCTTTAGTATTACTTACATAATAACTCCCAGTATAGTGTAATGGTTGACAATGTTGACTTTGTAAGATGGATGCTCAGATCCCTGCTTGGTCATAAAGCTTACTTGGTGTCCTAGGGACAATCAGCATTTGTCAGATGAACATGAGGGTTGTTTTTGGTATAAAATACAGAGAGGAAAACCATCCATGTAAAGCATCCATGTGCATTGCTGATGAATATAAATAATGACACTTTGCTACACATAGGAGCCCCAGATAATATTCTCATGAAATGGTTGTTGGTTTTGCTATTATTTTTTACTGATGGCACTCCCATTCCATAAGAGTACAGGAATTTCCCACAAGTGACACACTGTTATCTCATTTGCCAAAAAACAGTGGGGCAAAATCCAAGTAACAGTAATGGGAGTTTGGAAAAACTGGAAAGGAAAAGGTGTTATTTCCTTTTAGCTGTTTACAAACCAGCTAAAGGACTAAGTGTATTCACAACTGCAACCTCTACCCACTAGTACTGAGTTTACTCATCTATATGATCCCCGTTAGACCACAAATGGCTTCATTCATTGGTTAATCACATGGAAAGACTTGTTTCTTGCAAAACTACAGTCCAAAACAGTGCCCATATGTTTTGCCTTGTTATCTCTAATTCCATAAGGGCCAAAGTCTTAAGAAGATGAAAGTGTAGAATATATAATTGATAAGGTGAATGAGTACCAGGTGGCATGCCTAGAATTTGGGGAAAAACAGCCATGTGGGTAAAACAGCAACCCTAGCTTAAACTTTTCCAATAACAACATTAAACTGAAAAATAAATGCGAAGAACCACTCTTACTAGCAAAAGCGTATTACAAATGTTTTTAAATGAAGGGCTTTTGAAACCAAGATGACTTGTGTATGTTTTCTGTACATTTTAGGCAGTATTTGTGAGCTGGTGCAGAAGCTTCTGGGATTGTGGACTAGTGGCACTAGATGATGTATCAGTGGCTTTAGGAAGCTGTCAAGTTACTGGTAAGATAAATTTGAGTATGAAGTCCACTGTTACAGCTGTTGGGGTGTACGCACAAATAACTACTGCTTGCTGCATAGAATTTACTAATAAAATTTTATGCCTTATTTTGTAAACCTGCCAAAGTAGTGGATGTTCACTAATAAGGTGGTATACAAATCTACCAAACAGACAAACATACAGGGATTTTTAAAAAGCAGAAAATATTATGTGTTTCTAAGTAAATAGAACATGAAATTGACAATTTCAGACAGAAAACACAATTATGAACATGTATAGGTTACAGGTACTGTTCGTACACACACACACACGCACACGCACACACGCACACGCACACACACACAAGACAGTTTAAATCATACTGTACCAGACACAGTTTACCTACATGAATGTCAAACTGTAATTGTGCAAATTATTTTTGCAGATACACTGCCTGCTTTTCCTGGAGAATGTACTTTTGAACAAAATGAGTGTGGATTTACTCAGCAAAAGAGAAATCGAGGTGGCTGGCATAGAAGAAGAGGTCAGACTCCTACATCTTACACAGGACCAAAAGCAGACCACACTACTGGGGTAGGTGAGTTACAGTTTCAGTTACAACCTTCATGTTAGATGGCACGATTTTAAATACAGAAAATTTAAGATTAAGGTAGGAAGGTCCCCAAATTGCTTTAATTTAATTCATGATGTAGATAAGGCAGATGCTTCATGATCCTTTGAGTGAATATTCTTTTTCTATTATGTACCCCATTTATTAAATCATAGTTGCTTATTCTGTAGAGTTGCAGAGCTAAACAAACACTTCTTAAAAATGAACCCATTTATTAAATCATAGTTGCTTATTCTTAGAGTTGCAGAGCTAAACAAACACTTTTTAAAAATGAAGTAGTGTACTACAAATATCCTGTGAAAAACATTTTCTGTTTGCTTATTAATAAAAAATTCATTTAATTACACTTCACCATGTTAGATGGTGGCCTTGCAGATTTAGGAGAATAAACATGTGACAAAATCATCATGATTCAATTTCAGTCTCATTATGTAATGCTGAGTGTGTTTTTTATAAAGTTGACAGGTGCAAGGAAAGAGACTACAGTGGTGCCTCACTTAATGACGATAATCCGTTCCAGGAAAATCGCCGTTAAGCGAAAACATCGTAAAGCAAAATTAAAAACCCCATTGAAACGCATTGAAAACTGTTCAATGCGTTCCAATGGGGTAAAAACTCACTGTCCAGCGAAGACCGTCCATACGGCAGCCATTTCACTGCCTGTATAGCGAGGAATCCATCCCTAAGCACAGCGGGGAGCCATTTTAAGCACCCGCCAGCTATTTTGAAAACCCGACAATCAGCTGTTTATTATCGTCGTAAAGCGAAAATCGGTTCCGAAGCAGGGAACCAATAATCGCTAAGCGAAATCCCCCCATCGTTTTGCAATTGCGATCGCAAAAAGATTGTCGTAAAGCGGATTCGTCGTAATATGGGGCAATCGTTAAGCGAGGCACCGCTGTATTGAAGGAACAGAGTAGCTTAGCATTGGCTTTTTTTCTTAGTGAGTATTTAGTGAGAATTTTCTGACAAAACTCCTGTTTCGTTATAAATAGAGATGGGGACAAATAAAAAAAGATGATTTTTTTCAATTTGCAATTTGTCAACGTCACAAAATTGATGAATATGAATTTATGAATATTTTTGGATGAATCAGTGAATTGATTTGTTGATTTATCTTAACTTTAAAATGCTATAAAACAGGCCCCTAGGCACCTAGACACACCATATTCACAAGGATGCTTCCTCTGACCCTTTTCTACAAGGTCACAAGGATGCTTCCTCTGACCCTTTTCTGCAAGGCCTGCATGTTTGATGAAGTTTGGGTTTTGGACATCCGAGTTATATATCCATAAGGAGTGCACCCCGAGGAAAATTCCAGGGACGTAGAGAAACCAAAATCACAGAGAAGCTCCCTGTCTTTCCTCTAAAGGTCTTCAAAGTTTGGTGAAGATTGGGTTTCAGATATCTGAGTTATTAACCCACAATGTGGTTCCCCCAGTAACATATGGCATTGAGGCAGAGTTTGCCCCCAGCAGGCACTGAGGCATTTGGCATTTTGACAGGATAGGCCTAAAGAAGGCACTGAAGTGTTTGGCATTGAGGTAGAGTTTGCTGAGGGAATAGATGAGGCGTTGAGGGTGTTCAGTGGCTGATGGTTTCTGCCTGGCAGGCAAGATCTCCCAAGATGTGGGATTCAGGCACCTCAAGTACAAATGTTATTCTTCTGGGATAGTGTGGAGGGATACTGGGCAGGCTGGCTTCTTTTTTTACACTGGTGGCATAGTGGCAGAAATCTACCACATGGATGTGGGACAGAGGGTTTGACTTCAGGATATGACCTGAGAAGGCCAGAACACATGCCTGAAAAAACAGCTAATTTTTAAAGCAAAAGTGTGGCCTGGGGATTGTAGGTAGGGTAGTCCTCCTGCAACTGGGGCATTTGGCACTGAGGCTGAGTTTGTCCCAAGCAGGCACTGAACACAAGCCTCTAAAAAGAACTAATTTCACAACCAAAATGTGGTGTTGGGCTTCCAGGAAGGATAGGCCCCCTGGCACTAAGGGCTTCCATGTGGGTCAGGCATGCTTCTTTTTTACATGAGTGGCATAGTGGCTTTGTACTTCATTCCTTGAGCTTCAAGGTGCATGCTGCCAAGCTGCCCTTGATTCGAGGATCACACAGGCAGGCCATGCAGACAGGATGGAGGCGCTTCCACATGCCAGCCTGCAACCTCTTCACCTAGACCCTGGCCTGTGGAAGAAGGAAGGATTCTGGTGCTACAGCATACTCCAGGGACTGATCAAGAGCATGAATCAGGGGGATGATCGGCCCCAGGATTGCTGTGTAGCTACACAAGATACCAGTGGTCTCTTGGAAGAGCTTGAGCACCTCCACCATTTGGAAGAGGGCCAGCCAATCTGTGGCACTGATACCCAACTCTCTTCCCCCAGGCAGAATGCGCATGGAGGCCATGATGTTCTTCAAAATGGCCTTCTGCTCCACCAGGTGGGACACCATGGTGTAGGTGCAGTTCTACCTGGTTGGCAGATCCATCAGGAGAACATGTGTCTCCTGCCCTGACTCCTCCTGTCTCTCACACAGCTAGCAGGTAGCTTTCAGGCTGTGGGAGAAGTGGCCCACCAGTTGGTGGCCTTGCTCCAGGAGTGCCCGAATCTCCCGAGTGCCTGTGTCCCCCTCGGGCTTGACATGGTTGTCCAGGCCAATGCCATTGCACACTACTAGGTGTAATTCATGCTACATGCACGCAATGCCCTTGAAGCAAGCCACGTTCAATGCTGCCAACATCTGCCCCGTGTCTGTGACTATGTGGCCATGTATAACCTCCTCCTCTGGTGCCAACTATTGCAGAGTGGACAGGAACTCATTGGTGATGTTCCTCCCTGTTGCCTGAGCCTACATGTGCAGTACCTGCAGCAGAAGGGACCTGTAGCCTGGGGACAGGACAAGGGCCTCATCCTGCAGCCCTATTGCTGATGCCCTACCACTCCTCAGGTCATGCTGCCACCAGTGGGCTGTGAACGAGAGGTAGCCATGGTGATCTCGGTTCCACAGGTCCACGCCCCTGTGTCAATGAAAGCAAGAGGCAGTTCTTTGGGCTCTGCTGGAAGCTCTGCTTCCACACCCACATGCAAGGCCACTGAAGGAGGAATTGTGGTGGTGGTGCCTAGCCTATGCAGCTTCATAGGCTTTAACCACTCATGGTGCAGTGGTTAAACTGCTATACTGCAGCAAAAACTGTGCTCATGACCCAGGGTTCAATCCCAGGTAGCTGGCTCATGGCTGACTCAGCCTTCTATCCTTCCAAGGTCGGTAAAATGAATAGCCAGCTTGCTGGGGCGGGCGGGCCATGTGTAGCCTGCATATTTAACTTGTAAACCACCCAGTGGTTTAAGTCCTATGAGGTGGCATATAAGCAACACACTTTGCTTTTGTTTTGTTTTTGTTTCTTTCCATTGGATACCCCATTATGGACACTGCCCTTCATTTTCACTTGCCCTATATCCCTGTCTGCCAAACCACTAAACAAATAACGGGAGGGGAAGGAAAAACTAAGAGGGGTAATAGACTATAATAATTTTATTTTTAAAATGGTGATAGGGGAGGAATTGAAGGGATTTTAAATTTTTTTAAAAAAGAGTAATGGGGGGAAGGAGCAGGAAAATTAATTGTATCCTGAATAACTAAATAGACACCCAAAAGAAACACACCACCCACCCACAGACACGGATCACCCACCCTGCCTGAACACAGGCCTCCAAAAAGAACTAATTTTTAAAATTAAAATGTGACCTGCCTAATAAAAGGCCTCCCCAGTCTCCCACTAATGAAAATGGTAATAAAGAATAAATTTATTTTAAATTGATTGTGCTTTCTCAGCACATAGGCTGTAGAAGCATTCACACACACTGAAGTATTAGGCAGTAAGCAGACACTCAAGCACTCAGGAAATAAATTTTAGGGAAATTTCAGTCACACACAAAAATCCCCTTCCCCTAAGATCATCCATCCTGCCTGAACACAAGCCAAATTCATTAAAAAAAATAAAAAAAATAAAACGGTCCCCAAGGCACCCGGACATGCCAAAATTACAGGGACGTTTCCTCTGCCTCTCTGTATTCCCCCCAAGTTTGGTGAAGATTGGATTTCAGATGTCCGAGTTATACACCTACAAAGAGGGCTCCCCCAGAAAGTTCCCCCGAGACACCTAGAGACACCAGAATCACAGAGAGGCTTCTCATAATTCTCCAATCCCTCCAAGTCAGCTGGTAATGAGCACTTTTCTGGGGACACCCACTTTTCAGTGTGTAAACTGGATGTCTGAAATCCAATCTTCACCAAGGTTGGAGGGACTGTGAAGGAGTCAGTAGAAGCTTCTCTGCAATTTTGGTGTCTCTAGGTGCCTGGGGGGGAGTACTTTCCTGGTGTGGGGCTCCTTATGGATGTATAGCTTGGATGTCCAAAATCCAAACTTCACCAAACTTGCCAGGCTTGTAGAGTCAGGGGAAGATTTCTGGGAAATTTAGTGTCTCTGGGTGTTTGGGGGCTATTTTAGAGGGTTTTAAAGTCAAAAACAAATTGATGAATTGATTCGTCAATTCCTCAGAAAACAATTGTAAAACTAATTTGTGATTAATTGACGTTGATGAATCATGAATCAAAATGGATTGCCGTTTGTCTGATTCATGCCCACTTCTATTCAACTTCTTAACTAGCAGTAGTTTGCCACAGTGATTTATGTTATTTGATTCACATGGCATACAATAAGTAGTAGGAATTTGTTTTGAGATAATTTGATTGGAATTTGGCTGGTTATGCGTCCATGTTATTTGAACTGCTGAATCAAATTCTGCATGATATACTATCATTTCGATCCTACAACAAAAGGCCTAAATCCAGTTGCTAGTCTTAACAAGAGTAGATCCAATGTACCAACTACTAAGTAAGTCAACATTTACATATGTTTCTTTAGTTTAACAATTCTCCTTTATTGAGACTAGCTGTTGAATTTGGGACAGTGTGCCAGCCAAGATGACTGACACCAAGTCCTTAGCAGTATAAACATGCTATTGCAGCTTCATTGTTTATCCATTTTCAGTGCAAACCAATAACATGCCCAACATTCATTTCAAAGCTTTTTAAAATTAAGAATTATAAAATGATAGTTCATGGAAATTTACCTTGGGCAACAGGACAAAATTTGTACAAAATGTGTGATACAGTAAACCTATTTTAGTTGATTACTACTGAACATTATACAACTCATAGTCTGAAATCCTGTTACTTTAAATTATACCATGTAAACTGATTATGTTACTCTGTTGCCCAGCCAGGTTCAATTTTTAAACTACATTTATATTGTTATTTGAAAAGGTAGCAAATTCATACATTTTAAATTAAAGAGAAACTACTAATTAAGACACCATTTGCTTAGGACAGAAGATAACTAAATAAGGGGCAGTTCATCAGTCTTCCAACTGTGCTCAACAGGTGAATCTGCAAAAGAACTTTGTTAAATGGGATTAAATGTGGTAAATGTAGTAAAAGGTTCTTGAGAATTTACAGAAACATCTGAGCTGAATTGCTAGGTAATATTGCATTAAAATGCTTCATTAAACGCTGTTTTTTTAAAACTGAACTATGAGCACCATAATTCCTTATGCAAAACAATTTAGGTTATGAAGTACAACATGAATCAAGGTGACCATTTATAATTTTATCTTTTAAAAAGGATCCTATATGTACATTGAAGCATCTCACATGATCTATGGACAGAAAGCACGGCTTATTTCAAGATTACTACGACGAACTTTTGGATATCAGTGTCTTGTATTTTTTTATCACATGTACGGAGCTGGTACAGGTCTGCTAAATGTTTATATAAAAAAACATGGTGCAAAAGATGAGACTCTCATCTGGAAAAGGAGAGGTGAACAAAGCATCACATGGTTAAGAGGCCTAATACAATACACATGTGATAAATCGCACCAGGTAAGGTGATTAATCCCATCAGAAAGAATGTTCATGATTTGTTATCCCAGGATAACCATTATTTAATTCACTGGTTCTTAACCTTTGTTACTCCGATGTTTTTGGGCTGCAACTCCCAGAAGCCTTCACCATCAGCTCTGCTGGCTGCGGTTTCTGGGAGTTGCAGTTCAAAACCACCTGCGTAACAAAGGTTAAGAACCACTGATTTTAATTCATTACAAGCTCTGGTGTTTATATTTGTAGAAACTGAAGCAAGTTTTATGTAAGAAAGGAAATATCTGATAGATCAGGAATCCTAGATTAATCTCTCATTCATTTTGCAATAGATAAGCAAGATTGTTACCTGTTTGAAATGGATAGGAGTGCCCTTAGGCTGTGGTTCTGTTGCCTAGCAAAGGCCTAGCTGTTCCTAGTTTCCTGTTCAAAAAGGAAGTTTCTAGTAATTTATTTATTTATTTATTAAATTTATACCCCGCCCCTCTAGACCATGTCTAAGCACTAGGAGCAGCTTTATTTTCCAACAGAAACTAGGCTTGAGCTTGGCCTATCCTGAGTCATGAAGCCTTCCAGAACACCATTTCTTTTTCTAGTTTCCAGAGTAAAACGTTTTGTAATTGCCTCACTGTAAATGTTGTATTACAGTTCACTTGAGTTCACTCACAGTGTTTAAACCTGTCCTTTTTTGCTTTATAGTCTCAAGTTTATCTTCAGTCATACCCTGTTTCCCTGAAAATAAAACCTAACCTGAAAATAAGCCCTAGTATAATGCTCATAATATAAGGACTATCCCAAAAATAAGTCCCAGTTAAGTGAAACCCTGCCCTCCACCATTGTGCAGCAACCAAAAGAAGATGATGTGACTGAAAGAATAAAACATCCCTTGAAAATAAATCCTAATGTGTTTTTGGAGCAAAAATTAATATAAGACCCTTTCTTATTTTGGGAGAAACACGGTACTTCTCACATTCCATATCTCATTTATGTGTCATTGTGAGACAGAAGGCAAGAGGGATACCCCACTTGCTGGAGAGCCATCCCCCCCCCGACAACAAGGATAAGGAGGCAAGACCTCAGCCAGCACCAGAGCCTACAGCAGAAGCTCAGCCAGAGACAGAAACAGAGGAGCTGACCGAAGAGATACAGAGAGCAATGATGAGAGGTTCAGGAGGAAAAGGGGGGAAAGGAGAGGAAAAAGAGGGTGGAGTTTGAGGCAGGAACAAGGAAGCTAAAAAGGAGAGAGTCAGTTGCTGCCTGGTTGGGAATGGGTGTGGATGGAGGATCCCTGGATGGGATTATGGGAGAGACTGAGAGTGCCTAAGGAGGAGGCGGATTACAGAAGGAGAAGAGAGATCCCTCTAGACCCTCTTATTGGGGAGAAGCCGTGCGTACCACCATGGTAAGGTGCTGGTCAAAGAGTTACTAGGGGTATTCTCCAGAATGGGGTTCCCTAAGGAAGTCTTGACCAACCAGGGGTCCAACTTTATGAGCTTAACATTCAAGCAAATGTGGGAGTTACTAGGGGTTAAACTGTCAAACATGTCCATTTACCACCCAGAAGCGAATGCCTTGGTAGAAAGATTTGATAGAACTCTAAAGGGAATGCTGAGAAAATTGGTACAAGAAAAGCCAAGGCAATGGCATATGTTCCTGGCCCCACTGATGTTTGTGGTGAGGGAGGCCCCACAATTGTCAGCTGGGTTTTCTCATTTCGAATTATTGTATGGAATAAATCCTAGGGGGGTGCTGGACCCGGTCAGAGAGAAATGGGAAGAGGGGGAAGACCTGTCCAAGCCCTTGCTACAAGAGATAATGGAAATAAGAGAGAGCTTACAGACCGCTTGGGACCTGGCTAAGGAGGCCTTGGGCAAAACCCAGGAGAACCAGAAATATAGATATGACAAGCGGGTAAAACCCCGGGAGTTTGAACTGGGCCAAAAGGTCTTAGTGCTGCTACCAACAGAATCAGCTAAACTATTCGCAAAATGGCAGGGACCCTATGAGGTTGTGAGAAAGATTAGTGAGGTGGATTATGAGGTGAACATGGTAGATAAGAAAAAGAAACTACAAGTACTACATGTTAATTTGCTGAAATGCTGGGTAGATAGAGAAACCCTCTTTGGAGATTGTGAAGAATTGGGGCCAGAGGTGGGAGATGTAAAGATGGGAAAGGATATGCAGATACTTATTGATGAGAGCATAGAACCACAACAAGCAGCTCAAGTACAACAGATTGAGAGTTCCCTGATGTTTTTCCTAAGAAACCAGCACACCCATTTGGTACAGCATAGTATTGAAACCAGACCAGTTGGGGTAGTGAGGTCAGTGGGAAGGTCTTGGCCATGACAGTTGACCTCAGTACTTGAACAAGAAGTAACTGAAATGCTAAACCTTGGGGTAAAAGAACCAGCCAAGGGACCATGGCGCAGCTACCCTGTAGTGGTGCCAAAACTGGATGGTATGGTACAGTTCTGTATCAACTATTGTAAGGTCAACGAGGTTTCTAAATATACCAGCCAAGGGACCATGGCGCAGCTACCCCGTAGTGGTGCCAAAACTGGATGGTACGGTACAGTTCTGTATCAACTATTGCAAGGTCAACGAGGTTTCTAAATTTGATGCATACCCCATGCCCAAAATGGGAGATCTAGACAGACTAGGGGGCGCTGCGTACCTATAATTACCAGATCTTACGAAAGGGTACTGGCAGATCCCCTTAAGAGACCAAGGTAAAGGAAAAAAACCAGCCTTTTCCACCCCGAGGGGCCTCTTCCATTTTACCAGAATGCCTTTCGGATTGCATGGGGCAGCTACAACCTTCTAATGTCTGATAGAGGTTTTACGCCCAGTACAAGACTGTGCTGACGCCTACATAGACGATATTATATATAGCTCTACTTGGGAGGAACATCCAATTCACTTACGCAGGGTCTTGGAAGAATTAAGGAGACCAGGACTTGCTGCGAAGCCTAACAAATGTAGAATAGCCAGATCCAAGGTGGATTATTTGGGCTTTCTGGTGTGAGGAGAGGAGATACAATCCCAAGAAGAGAGGGTCTCTAAAATTACTTGGTGGTACTGCCCAAGGACAAAAAAGGAAGCACAGCAGTTCTTGGATCTGGTGGGGTACTACAGACAGTTCATACCGCAGTTCTTTGCCATTGCCGCCCCTTTAACTGATCTGACTAAGAAGAGGGCAGGAAGATTAGTACAATGGAGGGAGGCACAGGAAAAAGCCTTCTAAATGCTAAAATCAGTATTATGTGAGTTACCAGTGAGGTTTGCACCACTTCAACTTTCCCTTTGTGCTCTTCATGGATGTGTCGGACAAGGGTCTAAGAGCCATTCTGGCTCAGATCTGCAACGGGGTGGAGCATCCTGTCCTCTTTCTTAGCCAAAAGTTGACAGCAATAGAACAAAAATATGTCGTTGTTGAGAAGGAAGCATTGGCAATCCGATGGGCAACACATGCCTTGAGGTATTACCTATTGGGGCACTTTTCACGTTTGTAACTGATCACGCCCCCTTGCAGTGGCTGGTTCAAATGAAACACAAACATTTATTCAGTCATGCATCATGAAACTTTCCTTGTGCTTCTGAGCATGCAGCCATTAGACAGACATCCTTTTGGCTTTAATCTAGTTGCCTCATTAGTAATGGCACTATTCATACTTAACCTTTGGTATTATTAACCTAGAAGTGTGATCTTTCAGCACTATATCCTGGTTTGTTTGGGAAAATAATTTTTCGTGTTTTTTATGTTTTATCTATATCTTTTTGTTTAAAAATATTTATCACAGGGTTCCTTCCACTACAGGTTCTACCTGTAGCTGTTCTCCAGTACTGTCTCCACCCTATTAGACCTAGAACTATTCATTATCTTCTGTTACTCCTGGATATGACTGTTACTCCTGGAGAAAATATAATTTCATGAGAATATACTGGCTTGGATCCTATGGATATGACCGGAGTGACATGTTTACAAGGGAGATTTTCCATCTCATCATCTCCTTCTACTGTATCTTCCCAAATTTTCTGGAAAATTAAGTGACACTCCTGAAGTGTTCAAATAGCTTCTCCAATTCTCCAGAGAGGTGTTGGGGTGGAGTCACAAAGGGCAAATAGAATGGGAGCCCAAACATATGAGCTTCTTACCTCTCCCATTAGTTAGAATCCAAACTATAATACAATAGGACCCCCATATCTGCTGGGTATTACTTCCAAGCCTCCCCTGTGGATAACAGTGAATGCTATATGTATATAAAGTATTCATAGCATGGGCTCTGGCTTCTGGTAATGCCAGTTAAAATAGAGTTTATTGATTTTTTTTCTTTTAATATTTTAATATTTAGTATTTTTAATATCTTCAGACTGTGGATAATCAGTGAATACTGATTCTGTGGATAAGGGAGTCCTACTGCAGATAGAAACTTTTCATATTCTTTATGTCTGTGTATCTTTTTGTCTGGAAATGATTATAAAATTATATATATTTTTTAAAATACAGATTATATTTGAAGCAATTCGGGGATTGTCAGTAAGGAGTGACATTGCTATAGATGACATTTTATTTCAAAGAGGACCTTGTAAAGGTAAATTTAACTTGCTTATAGCTGTGCTTTCCTGTACAGTGGTGCCTCGCTTAGCGATTGCCTCGCTTAACGATGTATTCACTTAGCGATGAGGTTTTAGGAGCAATCTTGCGATCCGTTTAGCGATGTTTCCAATGGGGAAATTTCGCATAGCGATGTTCAGGACCTTGTTTCGCTTAGCAATGACAGTTTAGGTCCCCCTGTTTCACTTAGCGATGTTTTTGACAGCAAGGGGTTAAATTGTTTAAAAAGGTGTCAAACCTACAGTTCAATGCATTCCAATGGGGGGGGGAATTCACCAAAAATTAACGAAGAGTCAGAACAAAGCCAAATTAAGTTTGCAAAGGTTTTACAAGGTGCACTAACGATTCCAGGCATTTAAAACAGTTTCTGAACATTTTAAGACACTTTAAAAATAGCGAAAACGGACCTATCAAAACCACTGAAATGCATTGAATAGGCTTCAATGCATTCCAATGGGGGAAACATTGTTTCGCTTAGGGATGTTTCCTATGGCGATTTTCACTTAAGGACAGTAATCCGTTCCCATTGGAATGGAATATCCGGGTTTCAATGCATTCCTATGGGAAATGGTGTTTCGCTTAGCGATGTTTTCCCATAGCGATGTTTTTTTGGGAACCAATTAACATCGTTAAGCGAGGCACCACTGTACTTGATTTCTAATCTTTGAGTTACATTCTCTGTTCACAAGTATGTTAAGCAACATAGAATTATAAATCATGGAAACAATTAAGCAAGGCAGCTGCCACTGACAGTTGTGGTCAATTATCTATAGATCAAAACAGATATGTTTGTAACAGCTTTTGCGAATATTAGAATATTGGATTTTCTTACCAAATGTTATCAACATCTTAAACTGCACTAGGTTACTAGCAAAGAATGCTTATGCTCAAGATTCCCTCTAAGGTGCGCAGCTGCACGAGTGTGTGCAACTCCACCCCCTCCACACAGGGCTCCTCCTCTGTGTACCCACAGCAATTGTTTCCATCCTCTTTGGTTCTGGTTGCAATGGAGCCCTGCCCAGGAGGGATGAAAATTAGAGGGAACATTGTACTTATGTTCTCCCCACCAGATACTTTTAAGTTTAAATGATGGGTTATTTGTACAGTAGTATATGCAGATACATCAAGTATTCTTTCCCTCTGTATTCTAGAAATGGAAGAAACCACACTACAATCCTCTGGCTATTCTGCTGATTTTAATGAAATTGAATACTGAGCTCTGCAGAAGCAGATGAAGCACCAGCTTGCTTATCTACAGAGAAACTGCACAGCTGCCTCCATCCCTCAATTTTAAATACTGGACATAAGGACGCAAAGGCACAGGAAGCAACAAAGTATTGATCCTAGCCTTACCAGTAAAGTTACAGACTCAGGGCTTCCTTCACATTGTTTTTATTGTATTTTACCTTGCATGTGACATCAGTTATTCTAGAAATGTATCAGTTTTGCACAGGTTGTTCACTACATGTTTTTGATAATTTTGGGGGCACATAATTACAGAAAGTAAAATGGACACAATCATTCATTGTGTTAACCAAGTCTGCATTCAGTGAATGTCTTGTCTGGAGCAATTAATGGATACCGTTTAGTATTTTGAAATAATGAAATATTATTGAATACTTGCATTCTGTTGGGTAACTGAAGCTTTTTCAGATGATATTTAAGAAAACAAATCTCTTGGGGAATCTTCTGGTAGGAACTACATTAAGTACCCCCCCTTTTTTTCCTTAATAACCAGCAATTATTGAAAATGAATCCACTTGTCTTCCCTTAAATTAACAGATGGAACTATAAAAATAATGTAATGACCAGCAAACCTTGCAGGAAACTGCTTAAATGCGGTTAATTTTTTTAGTATTTATTAGGGTTCAAGAGACTTGCATAGGTATTATATATATGCTGTCAGAAATAGATGCCACACACTTTATTGTTAACATCTGTGTAAATACGTACTGGTGTGTATTTTGTATATTACGTGTGTGCATGTTTTTCTACAATTCTGAAACATTTAATAAAATGTAGTTTTATGTAACATCTCTTGCTCCATCTAAAAGAGACCAGATATTATTTTCATGAGCTTTGGTTAAAGTGCAGACAACTCAGAGAGTGATAATGACACCTTCATCCATGCAATGAAAAATTTTAAATTAGAGTACTGCAGTTATTGGCAGCTGGTGTCTGACTATAGAGTATATCTGAACGTTTTGAGATAAGACACTCTCCCCAGTCCTTGGAACACTTTCTTTGGCAATGCTTCTTAAAAATTAAAGAGAGGCCAAAGTGTAGCAGGCAGTTTAAAATATGATGACTGCTATGATTAACCCTTCTGCTTAAAGAACTCAGCTGGTATCCAACTGATGTGTAGTTGCAATTCAAACTGTTGTTGCTGATTTTGAGGGTTTAAAACACCATGGAAGGCAACACCAGAATGACCATCTCTTCCTGTACAAACCTATTCATGTGCTAACAACTTAAGGTACCCTGATAATAGAAGAGAGGTAAGTGGCAAACAGCAATAGGACCTTTTTTGTGTTGACATCTGCACTTTAAAATACCCACAACAGAGAATTATTTATGATCCTGGCTTAAGACTTCTATATTTTTCACCATTACTCTATTGTAACATGGACCTTTTCTGCTTGCTGACTCCTAATAGAACGCAGCAGAGGAATGAAACTGAGACAATCCCAGGGAGCAAGCAACCAACCATAGTGAGCTAACAGGAGTTTGATAGGGGAGGTCCCTATTTTTTTTTATTTCTGGATATAGTCCTATATTATTTTCCCAGCATCCTTCAAGGTAAAGAAGACAAAGGAAAGGGTACTCATAGAAACAGTAGAAAGTGAAAAGGTAATGGGGATTACGGAGGGAAGAGACACTTTAGGGGTGGTGATCTGCAATGGGTGTACAAGGTTTCTCTTCGTGCCTGAGAACAGCACAGCATACACATGCAGCAAGTGACAACTGGTTGCACTTTTGGAAGGAAAAGTGACAGAATTACGCCTAAGGCTCTAAGGGCAGTTGGAGAGTACATAGATAGACATTTGAGCAGCAGCAGCAGCCAAAAAGCCATCAAAAAGGTGGAAGAACAGCAAGACAAAGCAGCAGAGAAGAATGTTGAAGAGAAAACAACC